GGAGCGCTAGCCAATAAAGTGTTACATAGTGATGTCAGTACCGTCTGGGGAACTTTGGGATATTAGCCTCTACAGACCATTTACATGCACAAAAACCTATATAACACACAACGGGAATAAACCCAAAAAGCATGGGGCCTCTTTAAATAACAACAACTTGTAATCAGTGCAGGTTGAAAGCTTGCACAGATTGTGTTCTATTGCAAAGTCCAAGAATAGCAATATGAGTTAAAAAAATTATGATTATACGACAATTATTGGCTTATAAGTATAAGACCATTTCAGCGCCCTGTAAGTGGAAAGCGATAAATAGCACTGAAACAATCTTTAGTGTTGATGACAGGGTAAATCTCCTGCTATTCCACGGTAGCTTCTAAATCTCTGCCGCATGTGGGAATGTCCAGTCTTACCCGCAGGATGACAGACAAGCATGTGCTCCCTCACATGAGCAGATTTACACCTGCAGATGTAGGTGAAGGACAGACATAGTTTGGAGGGACATTGTTTCTAATTTTAAATTGACTCTGCGTGCTTGGCAGCAGATCAGAAGACTAAAGCATTTCAAATTGAAATGAAACATACATCTCATGGCATACAAAACAAGATAAAGATATATTGTCACCGTATTTTTCTACAGGTGAAGTTTTCCACTTTTCTTTGATGACTATTCTCATACAATTAGCCGTGTTTACCCCCTTTTTTAGAATGAATATTACAACTATTACCCCAATGAAAAATGTATCATTCCCTGATTTCCTCAAATGTAAATTGGGAATTACGAAAGCAGATTAAGCAACAACCCATATCGCTTTTGTGCAACAGATTCCTAACTTGCACTGAGGTCCCTTCAAGTCAAGTGGTCTCTCTGCAGTGTCACCTCTGTGCATTTAGACCCCTGTTCCTCTCCTTGTAAGGTGACAAGTGCCCCTGCCACTCTGCCGGTGGTCCAAGTAGATCATGAAGCAACACCGTATGCTTCCTGTGAGTCCGCGGGGAGGCTCGGATATCAGGAGCTAAATCATTCCCACTGTCCCATTCGCCTCAAGTGCCATCGTGCTATCAGCCAGGGGACAAACCATGGTGAGTGGAAAGAGACATTGTCATAATAATGACATCATCTCCTGTGAATTTATACCCCTCTGGTCATTTAATCCCTCAGTGACACTGCCCCACTGGCCGAGAGACAGGAATAGTTTGTGAACGTGCAGGACGGACGGAAACAGAAAATAACCAGAAACATGACCGGGTCAAAAGTAGACCATCCATCCATAAACTAAGAATAGTATTATTTGTACAGTTATTTGGACCGAGCACATGGCTGCAACAACAACAACAATGGTTTGTGTTTATTTGTGAAAGTTGTTTTGGAGTTAATGCTTTGCCAAAATAAAAAATGTATCGCCTCATAAAATGAATGCCAGAGAGTGCCACAACCTTAAAATAGGGTGCAATATGTAACTGTTATTAAAATAAGAGCTACACTATATTTATTTTATAATACATACATAATAATAATAATAATAATAATAATAATAATAATAATAATAATAATAATAATAATAATATGTATGGTAACAATACACACTTTTTTACACTGGACTTTTAATAAGATAGTTAAAGCTCAAAGTAGATGATCAAATATTAAAGTGAAAATATATGAATAACCTCAGACCCTGCAGTGATTTCTTTTTAAAGTGTTTTTAACCTCTTTACATCTTCTTAAAAAATATATACAAGGCATGTCAAGATCCTTAAAGTCTCTGCAGCCACCAAGTTACTTTTTGGGCTTGATATCCAACATCTTTTTTAATTGAAATACTGCATAAACAAACTAAAATCAGGTTTTTGCAGGTTCAAGCCAGTCTAGTTCTCTGAGTGAGTGTTTACCGGTCCCCACCCCAACTCCCTGGTTCTCCCTCTCCCCTCCCCCAGACTTCCAGACATTCCCACACTCGGAGTTTGTTGTTTTTCTGTTGATGTTGGCATGATTCTGTGGAGCCGGATCTGACTGGCCGTTGTTGCTCATGGCTGGATCCAGAGTCTGTCCACCTCCTTTATTACCACCAGCCTGTTCCTTCCTCTGTACATTATGTCACTGCTTCGTTACCGCACCCTGTTTTTACATCATGACATAATTTATTGTTGTGATTAAATTAATCCTGAAGTGCAAGGGGGAAGAAGGTTGTATCCTTCATAGCATGCTAATCAGCTGACACTACTGGGTGAAGTAAATAGACAATCTTAAGGGGCAAAGAGCAGACTGTCTTTGCAAATAAGCATTACAATTAAGAAAAAAGGGTGTACAATTGCTGGCTGGCTTGCAGACTGCATCACGTATAGAACTTAATTTTACTCAAAACAACTGAATATTGCATAAATGAGGGCTTGTTTTTGTATATTTATCAGTGAATGCAGGGAGAAATGCACCATCTTTTTCTTTGATTTTAACTAGGCCTAGTGTGTTTATGCAACTACCTTTTTAGGGGGGGATACAAAGCCTACCTCACATAGGCCTAGCAACAGGATTTTGTTTTACTAGGTGTCTGTTTGTCTATCTATTTTGAATATCTATAAATGAGAATGATAATTGTACTTATACTGTACATTCATAACATTATATATTCAAGTATAGTAAAAGAAGCTTAACCACACCTGAATATTAAAGAGTCTAAAGATGAGCTGGAAGCTACGGAAGTCTGCTAATGCTAAGCTAGCTACCATTAGCACGAGTAGCTAAAGCAGGTTTTTATTTACTGACTGGATTTAGCTGCTGACTCATTGAGTTATAAGGAAGAAATTACTGAATTACAAATATGTAACTCATTGTAATTGATATATTGTATCTTCATATATCAGTCAGGAAGAAATCAATCAAGTTAATTTAATTGTAGCTTCAGCTAATGCAAGCTGTACAAACTAGCTAACGTAACATCTTTCCTGTTTTATCTGGCTAGTTGGCTGTCTCTCTGAGGCAAGGGTTTAACTCAATTTTGACCAAATATGTTGTTATTGCTCCTTGCCTTTGTAGGGCAGATTTGAGGGTGCTTTCTGCGTGCATGAGGATAGATTTAACTTATTAAACTTGAACCTCTGAGTTTCTCACAGAGTAAACTCACCGATTTCATACAGTGTTTATTCTCAGTTCTAGCTCATTTTGTGTGAATGCTGCCATTAAGCAATGATGCCATGTCTTTCTGGTTGGCCTAATGTGTGGTCCAAGTTTAAAATACCATGTTTCAGGGTATTATGATAATATAGTGCCAGTAACACAGACAGGTACTGTCAGCATTTTAAAACAATTGTTACCATAGCATAAATTATAACCAGTTCAACTCTCAGACCAAAAAAAGCACCATCTACTGTTTTGGTATTTTATGTGTGATCCTACTTTAAAATGTCATTTTATTTTCCCTGAATATCCGTGGATTGTGGTTGACAAGTAAGTCATGTGTTTACAGAGCACATTAAAAGGAAGCAACAAGAGATGTAAAGGTACATTTAAATAATAAGAAAGGCAAACTGAGGGCAAAACCTAATTGATTCCCTTCACACAGCATTGCAAATAAGATTGCAGACCTGCTGACTGTGCCTGACTGTCTACTTTGTGGCTCTGCTTTGGTCATTCACACTGTGGTTAACATAATTAATGGGTGGTGGACACTGCTGAGTTATCACGTACGTGTGTCTGAGATGATATTTGTGCCGCCAGCATGACTGTTACCTTTAAAATGAGCCTGCGGTTGTGAGTGTGCTGACATGAACTTAACAACAGTCCAGAAAAGTGAAACAGTAGAACCGTTGTAGAAATGTTGGTCCAATTAAAAGCCTTCATTAACTTGCACTGACTTATTTGTACTATTGTCCTTCTCTGTCCAAGATTGTCAACAGTCCGGCCCATTCTGGTCGGTTCTGCTTCACGTCATTTTGTTTTTCCCTTCTGCCTCGTCTTTGTTCTGTCAGTCAAGCATGAAAAGCTGAGAGGAGGGGCTCAATTTTGGGAGAAGGGTACATTTCTAAGTGATGGCCTCACTACAGGGTCTAAAAGAGTGCACAAAGCAGATATATAAGAATTTAGGGCTTGGGTGGCTGTGTTCTTGAAACATTGTCACCTCCTCTTGAGGAACCTCTCTCTGTCTTTCATGTGCACGCATCAGTATTTGTCCAAAGCACCATTAAACTGAACTATTTATTCTTTCAGACTGGCCACAATTTGCATAAGAAGTGGCTGAGAACGGGCCCCTTCCCGTTTTCCTCCCTTTGTCCTACCATTCTTTTATACTAAATTCGACTTACTTATGCTCCTTCCTTGCTTTGTACTGTGCATTATATAAGAGAGCTGCATAAACACCGGCCACTCAGTTAGCTAAGGTGGTCACGCTGTTGGGCAACGGCCTTTTCTTTTTCCACTGCCATATAGTTTCCACTCCTTGTCCTGTTATTGCATTCAAAAAGGAACCTGAACTCTGCAGGGAGTTGTATGGTTTAGAAAACAAAGAACAAAAAAGCTGAATGGCAGGATTGTTTTTCACCTTGAAGCACACTAATGCCTCATCTCATCATATCTTTTACCTGTAGTGCATGTAAGCATGGCGTTAGCTTTATTGTGTTTGGTATCTATATATACCTGAGAGCAGCTCTGTAACAGGCTTTTAACTGAAAAGTTAGGTAACAGTTACCACGAAACGGCTCCTTGGCAGCAAAAGATTATGAGCTTAGCCCGCACCTGTGTACTGTTTAGTCAGCTGCAGTGTTCACAATATCCACAGGGGGCATTTCTGACCTTTGACCTTGTCTCTACGCACACAATAATCCTGTTAGATCTGGCTGTCTGGCTGCATGGGCACAGCATGAGGTCACTAATTGACAGAGATCCTAACAGTGATTCTGCGGAAGTTCTTCCAACTGGATAATCAGAGTTACAGATGGTGAGTATTCCGGTAAATATCAAAATGTGTTTCTGGAGAAAAACGACAGCTACATAGAAACTGGTCAGGAAAATAATTAGTTTTAATGTTGATTATCACAGAGAACTGATATAACTTCCCCTTAGAGAATTCATCAGCTATTATTGTGTTGTCACATTCACCTCAACACATAGTAGCACATAAAACAAACAATATGCTTTGATTAGTACATGTTCCATGTGGAGCCTTACTCTTATAATCAATATAAGTCAGGCAATACACACATACCATCAGCTAGAAAAAAATTCACAAAATAGTGGAGTAAGGATTCATTGATGTGTTTTAGACAGACTTGGTGTGAGAAATTGGATATCAGAAAAATGTTTTAAAGAGAGTTATAACGGAATATGAAATGGCTCCTGGTTCTTGAGACGGTTGGTTCACAACTTGGGGATCTTCACTTTCACAATCCACTCTCATCCTGAAACAGGACAGAAGTCACATGTTAAGTTCATATTTGGGAGAGGAAGCAAGCTCTTAGGTGACTGACAGAGCTGGTCATAAAGGTGAGCATCATGTTAATGTGTAGCTATGTGTTGATAAAATGCACACATCAGCTTTTATGGTCAAATGTATGTCTTTAAATGTATTTGTGTCTCTTATGAGTGAGCGTGTTAACTGAATCCATATGCAAGTCAGCAAAAACATTTGTAAGCAGCCCTTAATATTTGTTCATTCATGTGCTAAATCTGAGCTTAATCTTCAACCTGTGTATATATTTCGGTTCAAAAGTGCATGTCATGTACAAAATGTAACTTATCTTTGACTTTTTTCTTTCCAGCTAGTTAACTTTTTGCACCTTTTACCAGTTCAAACCAGTCCCCATATTGAGTCGAGTTAATTTTTAGTAAAACCTTTCAACTTAAGAATCTTCATGGCATCTGCGTTGGATTTTTTTGTGTGTTTACAGACACGGATTGCACTGAAAAAAGTTATTAAAAAGAAAAGTTTATTTTAGCATGATTTAAGCTACACTAGCCGAGAGTTAGCTTGAGCAGGGGTGTCAAACTCAAGGCCCGGGGGCCAAATCCGGCCCGCAACTTCATTTTCTGTGGCCCCACAAGAGCTTGCAAAGAATATAATATGTTTGTTATACAGTTACAGGGCGATATACAGAAGCACGTTGCCCATACATGGAGCACAAAGCATCTCAAATGTGCCTTTTTCTCAGAATTGCCTTTTTTTTTTAAATGTCACTTTTTTTTTATTTAGCTTTTCTTTTTAAGTCATTTTGTGACATTCTCACTGAAGAGACTTGCAATTATTTACCGTAGACTTCTGCTTTCAGACGTAGTTAATTATGAAGGTATTACCTTATCCGATAATAATCCAATACAGAGGTAATCATGTAATATCATACATTATTTTATATATATTAAATATTTATATATGTATTTTTATATAGTCTTAAAGTTACAACCGTCCCTTTGAGTGCAACCATAATGCAAATGTGGCCCGTGATGAAATTGAGTTTGACACGGCAATGGACTCTGGGAACAGGTATGCTTGCTTTATTAAATCAAATCTTTAAAGATGCAATATTTTGTATCGAACTGTTAAACATTTACCGACTAAAGGCTTTTTCGCTCTCACGATCACTAAGAGTGTAACAACTCGTATGTTTGGATGATAAGAGTTGTTATTATCCACATATTATGGATGATAAGCTTTAAGGTACAGACAGTAGCTTAACTTAGCACACATACAGTAAACAGTTGGCATGTCTCCCTCCAAAGAACCTTCACGTCTCACCATCTAACATTTTATCTTTGTTATCTATGTTTATTCCATTTAAAAGTGTAAAAAATACACAATGAGCGTTAATAAAGCACTTAAGCAAAACTGTGTTAAGCGGCTATAAATCATTCAACAAGCTACTAAGAGGTGCTGTCTGACTTTCAACGACCAAACTACACAACAGGATGCTTTCCTCATGGCTTGGTCTAGTTTGATAAAATGGTTTCATATTTTATGGCTTCCCCTCTCCAGACCCTATGTATAGCTTTCATTACCTCATTGTGTATTTTGAAAGATTTGCATGCACACTCTCCTAACTCAGTTAATCTTGTTTTAGGTTTGGAGTTTCAGGATTTGTTCACTTACATCTTTGCTTTTGCGACAGTCGCCGCAGATGCATCCGATGCAGCCGTTGACCACCTGGATGCCGCAGAGCACCAGCTGCACCACCCCCATGGCCAACAGTATGGAGAACAGAACCACGTGCCACATCACTGCGTTTTTAGGGTATTCGCAGATGCTCCACATAGTCTGGTTTAAAAGGTAGCTGGTGTTACCACTGTGAGGGAGAAGAGCAGCAGATCGTAAGCACCGTCCAAGACACACACAGCATTACTGAAAATATGTGCACAGCAGGCCAAGTTTGGGGGGCAGAAAGGAAAAGTATGATGACTGAATTGAGGAAAAATGTGTCAGTAAGCAGGTAATTGGAACAAGCGAGAAGTGGAGAAAGTAAAGCACATGGAAAATAGAAAGTATAGAAAGAGTTCTAGTAAAAATATGATTAGATTTGCTAGAGAAAAGTGAAATTCACCTGTTACTCAATGATAAGTAGTGCTATGGTTTTACATTTTGGGAAATATAATCACTTTCTTGCTGAAATGATTGATATAACTCATTGACCTGCACATTTAATGTATAGCTGACAGTAAGGTAAGCTCATTGACTGTCAGCAGTCGGTTAGTGTTGGAGCTATATATATCTCTTTATATTATTTAATAGTTTAACATTTATTTTCTTGCTGTTTATGGTGTTTATTATTATTATCATTTATTTATATGTATTCTTAGTTAGCTTCATAAGTTAAAGTAGTTTCTATGCTTTTATTTTGAAGGCATGTTTTGGGCACTGGGTGATTAGAGTAATTGTATATATTGGAGACAGGTGGGTGGTGGGAGCCAGAGCACTAGTAGGCAAACGGTTTTTTACCAGGGTGTTTCAAGCCACAGGGTTTTCCAACCACAAGAAAGGAAAGCCATAGGAAAGGCTTAAAGGAACCAACCATAGGAAACCTGTTCATTGTCAATGATATAGGATCATAATAAATGCACAACGGAGAATCTTGTCTGGACCTGGATCATTGCCCTGCGTAAGATCTGCTAACTAGTGCCTCAGCGGCTGTATTATTTTAAGTTAATTATTTGTTTTAGTTCTATATGATTCTGGCCGCTACAGTTAGCTTAGCTTAGCATAAATATAGAAATCTTAGCTCAGTCAAAATGTGACTACCAGCTCCTTTAAAGCTCACTAATACATTGATGTTATATTAAAGTGTTGTTGTATTCTAGTAAGATCTACCAACATATACAATTAGATATAAAACAAATTGATTATTTCTTAATGCGTACAAGCATAGGGCTGCCAACTAACGAATAATTTTGTAAATGTAATAATATTAATTTAATGAATAAAATACAGGTATAATGACTTCAACATCGCAGAACCTATTCAGTAAAGTAAAAAGAGGAAATTGAAGTTTGCTAGAGGAAGGGCAATCTAAGGTTAAGTATAAATATTGCAGCATCCAAACTTTGTTCCCCTCACTAACCTCAGCCTACATATTAACAGCTTGCTCGTTTTTTTATTGATGAACTACTATCACCTGATGAGCATCATGAGTTTTACCTACCGAAGCTCGTAACATCTTGCTATCCTTGAAGTGTCTTTGCTTTTGCTATGCTATGTTTTATTCCCATGGTATTGGGTCTAGCAATGAGATTCAATGCTATCAAATCTATGTCTCTATTGACAGTTGCTCAACTAAAAAGGAAAGAATCATAATCTGCAGACCTAGAATCAACATAAAAAGTATTTCCCGGCATGCCTTAGTGAGATTTGACATTATTTTGACAAAAAGACTATGAAATGACCAGCAAAAAAGGGTTGTGTATTCTGAATTCCCTGACTCATTACTACAAACGATCTGTAAATGTGGCTGCAAAAACACATAAAAGAAAGTGCTGCTATCTACTGGATATTAAGCATATTGCATTTCAAGAAATGAAACTCTTGAGAGTAAAATATAACTGATAAATTAAAAAAGATTCAACAGCATCACCTACAAGCCCAGAACAGTACATTTGAGTGATGATGGGGGAATCACTCACGTGCCGAGGTCTTCGAAGGGGTATTCCCACTTGTCGTGGGCCACCTTACACTTGGGTCCAATAGCCAGGCCTGCAGAGGACACACTGGTACAGTAGATCGCTCCAACCAGGCCGAACGCAGAGGAGAACACAGAGTTCAGCATCTGGAAGAGAAATAGGAACATATTGTTTAGGCTATGAGACATTTCTCAATTGACTGGCCATGAAAATGGAAAAGGGGAAAACCTACTTGGACCCTGAGTTAGGATTTTGTTACAAGATTGGGATCACACTCAACGAAAACAAATGTCCAAACACCAATTAAATGAAATAGCACATAGGTAATACGCAAATGAAAGGCAGACGACACAGCATTTTTTCACTGGAACTGTCTCCACTACTTACAAATTAGCGGTCTAGTTCCCATTAATTGAAGAGAAGTGAGAACAGTTCATAACCCTACTTCTGTAAAATATATTTAACAAACATAAAGACTCTAAATATCAATAACAATCATTGGCCGATTATGAGATAAGGCCCCACCATTAACACGTGTAGTTGATTTATGACTCTTTGTGTTAATTTCGAGTCTTTTTCTAGACATTACGACGTGTCAATTTGCGTCTGTTTTGCGTGTCTTTGTGTTTCTTTGTAGTCATTTCATTAATGCAGTTTATTTGGGTTATGTTTAATCTGTCTTGTCCCTTTGACTGACATTTCTATGATTTTAGTGTCCATATGGGGAAATATAATACACAGTGATCCATAGTCATTTAATTATCAGTGAAGTCCCCACAATGACATGTAAATGTACATTTCAAATGACTGTACTTACCCGGCAACGGTTACCACAGCAACCATTTCCGCAGCAACCCTTGCCCCCGGCCCTGATAGCCGAGCAGCTCGGACACAGCATCTGAAAAGTTAAAATAAAAACACATTTATCAATAAACAATTTACAAGAGATGTCCTATGTTAATTATAATTTCAAAAAACTTTAATATGTTTTTATGCTGTGTGTATTTGTGTCCTGCACACATAGGCCTACACATTTGCATTTTTACATGTGTGTGTCTCTGTCCATGCTCTCTTATCTCTCGAAGCAAATATTTGTGAATCCTCAGTGGACTTTCTTTTAAATGAAAGACATCCAACTTCCTGGTCCATATTCCTAACTGTAAAATCATCAAGTCGTGCCCTTTCCACAGGACTCAAAGGTCTCTCTAATCCATTTATGAGATATTGATGGATAATTATTGGCCTGGTCAACCTTTAAAACGTCAAGATAATGCAGGTGTGTGTGTGTGTGTGTGTGTGTGTGTGTGTGTGTGTGTGTGTGTGTGTGTGTGTGTGTGTGTGTGTGTGTGTGTGTGTGTGTGTGTGTGTGTGTGTGTGTGTGTGTGTGTGTGTGTGTGTGTGTGTGTGTGTGTGTGTGTGTGTGTGTGTGTGTGTGTGTGTGTAATGAGGAAGTAGAGGAGATAAGACCATTTTATTCATTGTAATTTTCCTTATAATATAACAAGTACACCACAGTAAAATATACTTATATGTTCTTTTAAAGTGTAGAGTTTTGTCAAGGTTGAGCTAATTTCTATATGTTCAGTATTCTCATCTGTAAGAATACATCGTCTGTTTTGTGTCTCAAGTTCCTATATTTGACAAATATAGTGTAGTCAAGGTATTTCCCTCTTAAATGTGAAGAATTGGAATTATAAATTGGGACCAATTGAAAATACTTCCGTGTGAATACCTCAAAATTGTACCCGAGTTATTGTGCTTTGTTCTTTATCGGTTTCAAGGATGCTTAAGGCAGAATCTGGCTTATCTTCGGTACATTTAAAGGTGCCTTTAGTCAGATATAAAGCGGGATCTGCTGTATCAATTAAATATACTCCACACAGAGTAAAACAAATTACTAATCTGACCTAAAAGATTGTAAACTAATCCAAAACAAAATAAATAAAATACAATTAACTGACTAAGGTATATTACACTTACAAAAACTAACTTTTAAAGGAACTGTTATCTCCCTCAGAAGTAAGGAAACTCAATAAATTAGATTTTAAAGGTTAACACAGATTTTATAGGTTTACACAGAGCAGAGTTAATGACTGAAAAGCCCAATAAAACACACAGTAAAACATCAAATCACCTTTCGTAAAAATACACAGTGGTTTACTCACAAAGAGGCCTCCTCCGATGAGCCCCCCCATGAGCCAGACCTGCAGGGAGATTTGATCGTTGTCCAGACTATTCCCATCGGGGAAGAACAGCAGCAGGTTGGCGATCATGCAGATGAACGCTGAGGGCAGCAGGATGAGGCCCACCAGGCGGGCACATTTCCCCGTACAACACATGCTTCTACCTTTTTCTTTGAGTCTTTCTTTGCTGCTGAAAGTGTCTGTTCCTCTCAAAGTCAGAGAGAAGTGTTCGAGGCGGATGAGGACCTCGCCACTGCTCTGACACACTGAAAGTCAAACACAGCCAGTGACAGTTTTAACAGGAAGGAGAGAGGGAACAAAGGCCAAGTATTGGTGTGGCTTCCTGCAATCTGATTTCAGACCTGAGTATCTTTTGAGATGAAAAAGAAAACCCTTAGCCAGAGAAAAGAAAAATGTACTCAAAGTGAAATTGCAGGACAAATATTATACCTGAACACACAGAAAAGAAAGGGGGTTTCTGTGTGTTCAGGGGGTTCGATCATGAAGTTTGGACGCCCTTTGAGACCTGCTAATGACGATGTTCTATTTATGGCCCATAGCAAACACAAGAGAGGGATTGGCGTTAATAAAAGCCTTTTATAACCAAAGATACGGCATCTAACAGCTGGTACGGTATGTGCTGAAAAAGAATTAGCTTGTATGAAGTGGATTTATAGAAACACAGAAACCATCAGCCGCTAAATTAATGTAATTAGGGTGTTGACCTTTGGGGAATTTCAGCTCTCTAAGGAATTAATAGTATGTGTTGGACGTCGTTATTAACAATTTTAGTGATAGATTGTTTTGTTTTTTTGCTTTTTATGATAGGGACGCAGCAGCCAAACACAGTGGGTGTAATAAATAACATTGGGTCTTAGGAAAGGTCAACAAAACTTAGCTTGAAGTAAGAAAAACGAACCTGTAACCAAACTAGAATGTAATGTCCACAAAGAAACATGTCAGATATTAATCAAGCAAAGAACTGCTTATATAAAATACAATGAGGCTTTTTATTTTTCTTATCAAGAAAATAGAGTTGACCTAGTCGCATTTGGCTTCTTAACTTTTTCTTCCTCACACATTAACTTGTAGTTAATCTGAAATATCTTTATTGCAGGTAATCAGTACAGTAGATTCAGTAAGTACAAAACCCCAATAGAGTACTCTTTTTACCGTCATGACATGAGTCACACGACATCCTAACACGAACGTCCTGTTCACTTCTGACCATAGATTGAAACACTTCGTTGTTCCTGTATTTATGACAGTGGTGGTTGGTTGGTATCTGCTCATCTGATCAATGGGACAAACAAAACATCAATTAGATAAGATAGCGGCTATTCTGAAAGTATTGCTTCATCAGGTGGAAGATGTTGAAATATTAAAAGCATTTGCACATTAGCCCCATCTATAGACCACACATTAACAATAAGTGCCATATTCAGGGTGATGTATCCATTAGTGACCTATGTTTGTGTTTGTGACCCATTAAGCTTTAGCAGCTTAGCCGCAGGAGCACCACAAAGTCTGTGTGTCATACTTGAGTATTTCTATTTACTTTATACTTCTACTCCGCTACATTTCTTAAACACTGATAGTTGTACATATAAAAACACATTATATACTATGGTACAACGCAGTAATGTAGTAGGCTACTAACAGTACATTTCAAGAATCTAAATATGGTCCACATCTCTCGAAAAAACTACAATACTTTAATGCTCTCTCATGTATAAAAAGAGGATAATATAGCATAATAATACAATAGCCTACTGTGAAAACATCCATTCTGCATAATGAGTATTTTGATACTTAAAGTACACTTAGCATTCATATTATTCTGAAATCGGACAAATTGTTTTTATACTTAAGTAAAGGATGTGAGTACTTTTCTACTACTGCTTATTTGTTTATGTAATGTGGTTTTTTTACTAAATAGTGTGTTATTTTCAGAATCATAATTCATTTAGTACTGATAGAGGCAAAGTAAAACAGTATTAAGTAGAGTGAACATTATTTAGTAAAGTGATATACATATATTATAACATTAGAATACAAATAAATACACATTTCAAGAATAAAAAAGGAAAGTAGCAGGATTATAATTTTTTTTTTAAATAAGTGAAACAAGTAGAAAGTAATGAAGTAGCTGCAGAATGACAGTAGTAAATACTAGTATAAAGTATATATTGCTCAGTTTTTTGTGACACCATTGTTGTTACAGGTGTTGGATGGGGCAAAATGAATAAGCAGTCAGTTTAAATAAAGGTTATTTGATTTAGCTTGAGGTCCAGCAATGTGGGCTTTGGAGTAGTTTGTTGTTCCCGTGAGTTCAACGACCCCCTTTTTTCTCGCGATAACTTGACAAAACTTCGGTTCCAACCAGGTTCCAACCAAGCCGAACCAATAAGGTTTCAACCTGATTGATGACGTTTCGTTCAGCCAGCCAATAAGCTGAATGTAAACAGTGTGCGTGCAGCTCTCATGAACTCTGCTCTTCTCGCTTCTTTCGGCAACCGTGTTACAGTGAATTTAATGAATTTATAAAACATTAACAGCACTTTTTTCAGCTGTGAAAGGTGACACAGTCCAATTGTGACCTCCTTCAAACTGCACACAGTCTTCTTCTGCAATGTCAGGCAAGTTTATTTAACAAACCTTCTCAGTAACACTTGACTTTTGATTCAGCTAAATGATAAATGCTAGCTAACCTTGTGTTTTTGAATCATGTTGTGCTTATTCTGTGCGCAGATAAAGTGAAAGAGCTAATTTCAAAGTGCCTGCAGGCCCGGGAAATGGCTTACTGTCCGTACAGCCGCTTCCCTGTCGCTGCCGCCATTTTGACAGCAGATGGCGCTATAATCACAGGTAATAACCTATGGTAATAACCATAGAGCAGGGGTGTCAAACTCAAATACACAGTGGGCCAAAATAAAAAATTCGGTACTAGTCGAGGGCCGGACTGGTTCAATGTTTATTGCAAAACGTATTGAAATGAACTTATTGCATATTAAACCTGGAACTAACAAAGCTTAAATTATTGCCTATAAAAACAACATTAAACATTAAATAATCAGTTGCATTAATTTCTTATGGCTCTATCTGCAGATTTTCCGGAGTCATTTCTTATGATTACATTAATCCACAGGCCAACAACAGCTTCAAAAATACAATTTCCCTCAAAGAAAACATCAAACCTGTTGCCTCAAGAAAAAAAGTGCAGAAGGAAACATCCATTAAACTCAGTTTGCTGCTCTGTGATGCTAGTTCAGATACTTGGCATCTCATCTTGGGTGCAAGTTCATCAATGTTTGGGGTCAGGCTCTGAGCTGAGGAGATCCTCAGGATGGAGTGAAGGTGTGCGTGCAATATACCGGCGGGCCAGATCTAATAGTAATTAGAAATGATCCTGCGGGCCGAAATTAAATCCACCAAGGGCCTGATTTGGCCCTCGGGCCTTGAGTTTGACACATGTGCCTAGTGTATAAAGGTGATAACCATAGACTGTATATATAAGGTGATAACCATAGACTGTATATATAAGGTGATAACCATAGGCATAGACTGTATATATAAAGATAATAACACATAAGTGCACACATCAGAACTAACTGAGGACTGGAGGTACAATGGTGGAAAGTAACTGCGTACTTAACACAATAACAATAATAAACTAATAAGGTTGCCACAAACTGTGTTTTTCCTGAGAAGCATACTTTTGACTCTCTTTTTAAATTAAACTTTCTCAGCATTAATCTCAAAACTCTTTAAAGTTTCAAGTAATGTTGGTGTGTTCATTATTTAGTACTTAATGTGTGTTTTTCTTCCTCATTGTTTATGCAGTAGTATGTATGGTTTTCTTATTTTAACATATCGATACTATGCATCTCTTCTCTTACTCCTTCCCTTATTTAATCTACTCTTATCTTATTTTATCTTATCTTTTACAGCAAAATGCTGATGGGATTTACAATGTATTGTCATGCCGTACATGAGATTACCTAAAGGAATGTAAAATAGTTAAAAATAGCTCCAGCTCAACCAAATATGAAATGAAGGAGAAAGAGAGAATAATGTATACATGCAAACAACAAAGAATAGTTTTTTCAACTCATAAAAGAATAAATGTATATATAATTAAGAAAAAGCCAAAGAAAACAGCTACATTTGAAAGATTAAAACACATATTTCCAAAGAGAAAAATAGTCCTGAGTCTGTGTGTGTGTGTGTGTGTGTGTGTGTGTGTGTGTGTGTGTGTGTGTGTGTGTGTGTGTGTGTGTGTGTGTGTGTGTGTGTGTGTGTGTGTGTGTGTGTGTGTGTGCGTGTGTGTGTGTGTGTTCTCAGGCTGTAATGTGGAGAACGCCTCCTACGGTCTGACAGTGTGTGCTGAGCGGACGGCCATCCAGCGGGCCGTGGTGGAAGGATACAGACAGTTCACTGCCATCGCTGTCACATGGTGAGAGACATTTTAATGAATTTTATACATTAAGAGTTTAATACAGCACATGTTATGATGACATTCCTCTCTTCTATGCAGTGATATCAAAGACCGCTTTGTTGGGCCGTGTGGGGCCTGTCGACAGGTTCTTATGGAGGTGAGACACACATACAGTATCTACTCTAAAAAAATTACACTTTTTCAAGTTATTTACAATATAATTTTACATATAATATTGTCTAAAATATACATTAAAAGACATTTGTTTGGAAAATATATCTCCCATTTAAATACATTCTAGAAAAATAAATATCAGTGCGCTATAAACAAGAAAACTTAATTCGGAGAAATATGTGTTTGCATTTGTCAAATGTCAAAATATTTCCAAATCATCTTTAAGGACTGAATTACAGATAAAGATGACTTGATAAAAAGGGGATGTCACATCTGCATTTCACAGGCATGTTAAACATTGATACTAATAACAGCACAGTAAAAAGTAATAGCTTTCTCTTTAAGTAGGCCAGATATGTTCAATAAATAAAGTTAAGGCGGGGTACTGTGTTTTTCCATCAATCATCATACAACTTAAAGTAGTTTAAAGGTGTCGGATGTAGTCATTCAACAACAACGTTTTCTGTGCATCCAATATATTCAAATACATGAATTATGTTTGCGGCATTCAGGTGTTAAAGGTGGGGTAGGTCATTTTGGAGAAACCAGCTCGAGTGCGCTAGAATTTGAAAATACACAGCCGGAAAAAAGCTGCCACTTCCTTACAGAGCCCCTCCTCCAACACACACGAAC